GAGATCGAGACCATCCTGGCTAACACAGTGAAACCCCGTCTCTACTAAAAAATACAAAATATTAGCCGGGCGTGGTGGCGGCGCCTGTGGTCCCAGCTACTCAGGAGGCTGAGGCAGGAGAATGGCGTGAACCCAGGAGGTGGAGCTTGCAGTGAGCTGAGATCGCGCCACTGAACTCCAGCCTGGGCGACAGAGTGAGACTCCGTCTCAAAAACAAAAACAAAAAACAAAAAAAAAGAAAAGAAAGGTCAGGGAGGGACAGTGTGTTGAAAGGGTACCAGGGCCAAAATGAAAGAACTTGAGGGCCAAAGTTGGAACCACTGCAACGGCAAAATACATAGTGATGATATTGGACTATAACTCAAGTAATAGATAAATATTCTTTAGTCCACACCTAGGTAAATAAATAAGGAAGCAAATAGACACAAAGAAGATCAGGACAGCTCCTCCTCCCAGGAGAATTTCAAATAGCAAGTGTGGAAGGAACAGGGCAGGGAGGAGAACCGTCAACAGAGCCCCACAGGGGCTGCACTGGCCAGGCTCCCGGAGGGCGCCAACACTACTGGGCAAACGCCTGGGCAGATGCAGGACAGCTGCCAAGTCTCAGACATGACCAATTACAGAGGGAAATGGTGGCACCACAAGGGATGGGACACGGTCACGTCCCCTCCGTGCCCTGCATGCACTGCTCCTGTGGGATTCCTCCCCCAATGCGATGCCCGCTGTGACCATGAGGAAACCTCAGGCAAGTCCACACCGAGGGACGTTCTACAAAACACCCAATCAGTCAAGGTCGCTGAGGCCCACGAGAGACTGGGCAACAGTCACAAACCAGAGCAGCCGAGGAGACCTTTCGGCCAGCGCCATGTGGGGTCCTGAGCAGGGCCCGCGGGAAGCTGGTGCACCTGCTTAAAGCCTGTCCTGGGTGAGAGGAAACAGACCAGCACCGCTTTCTCAGAACTGGGAACTGACCTGCGGTGGCATCGCAAAGCTGGTGAAGGGTGATGTGAACTCCGCTTTTCAACCACTATTCCCTAAAACCATTCCACGAGGTCAAGCCACACCTCACAAGCAAAGGCTGCCGAGTGCTCAGTGCTGGGCACCTGCTGTCCTGTGCTACCCTCGCCACCCCTCCATGCTCCACCTGCCCCAGGCCTGAGTCGGCGAGAAAGACTCCTGCTGTACCTGCCTTCCCATCCCGGGTTCTGCTCCCGCGCCCACCTCCTCATCCCAGGTTCTGCCATTGTGTCCGCTTGCTGTGGATTGAATTGTGTCCCTCAAAAGGTGCCGAAGTCCTGACCCCTGGCACATGTGAATATGACCCTATATGGAAATAGGGTCTTTGTAGGTGACCAAGTTAAGAGGAGGCTGTTAGGATGGGCCCTACTGCAATATGCAATATGCTTTGTGTCCTTATAAAAAGGGGAGATTTGGACACACGCACACACACACACACACACACACACACAGAAGCTGTGTGAAGATAAAGGTGGAGCTCCGGTGAGCCCACTGTAAGCCAAGGACCCCAAAGATAGCAGCAGCCCACAGGAGTGAGGGGAGCGGGTGAGACAGTGCCCCTTGCAGCCTCGGAAGGAGCCCACGCTGTCCACACCTCCATTTCAGACCTCTGGCCTCCAAAACCATGAGACACGGAATTTCTGTTGTGTGACCAGCCAGTTTGTGGTATTGTTTGTCACGGCAGCCCAAGGAAAGAAATACGTTACTGCATACAAATCACGACTCACGTTATCTTTATTTAGAACCCAAACGAACCTCTCCCTAACCTTTGAATCACAGAGGCACACGATCTTCTTCAGCAGCCTAGAAACCCAAGGCCCAGCAGAGCCACCCACAGGCACCCGCTCCCCATAGCCCGGCACACACAGACCACGCCACCCTCCACGTGAGCCTGGGGAGCAAAGCAGCACAACCTGACCTGCACCTCAGCTCTTCCTCCTGAGTCTAAAACACACACATGCCCCAGGCCAATTCCAAGTTTTGTAAACTGAGCAACAGCTCTTGGGAAACAAAAACACAGCTACTGTTTATTCTCCTGGAGCTGGCTGTACACCCCAACAAGGAAGAGAGGGCCTGCTGAGCCTCCTGTCTGGATGACACGCGCCAGGGAGGAGTATAAAAGCCCCAGAAACCCGATCACCTCACTCACTCCCTCACCCACTCCCTCCCATCTCGCCCAGCCCAACCCCCAGCACTGCAGCGTCCACCATGTCCGTCTGCTCCAGCGACCTGAGCTACAGCAGCCGCGTCTGCCTTCCTGGTTCCTGTGACTCTTGCTCTGACTCCTGGCAGGTGGACGACTGCCCAGAAAGCTGCTGCGAGCCCCCCTGCTGCGCCCCCAGCTGCTGCGCCCCGGCCTCCTGCCTGACCCTGGTCTGCACCCCAGTGAGCTGTGTGTCCAGCCCCTGCTGCCAGGCGGCCTGTGAGTCCAGCCCCTGCCAATCAGGCTGCATCAGCTCCTGCACGCCCTCGTGCTGCCAGCAGTCTAGCTGCCAGCCGGCTTGCTGCACCTCCTCCCCCTGCCAGCAGGCCTGCTGTGTGCCCGTCTGCTACAAGCCTGTGTGCTGTGTGCCCACCTGCTCTGGGGATTCCTCTTCATGCTGCCAGCAGTCTAGCTGCCAGCCAGCCTGCTGCACCTCCTCCTCCTGCCAGCAGGCCTGCTGCATGCCTGTCTGCTGCAAGCCTGTGTGCTGCAAGCCTGTCTGCTGTGTGCCCATCTGCTCTGGGGCTTCCTCTCTGTGCTGCCAGCAGTCTAGCTGCCAGCCGGCTTGCTGCACCTCCTCCCAAAGCCAGCAGGGCTGCTGCGTGCCCGTCTGCTGCAAGCCTGTGAGCTGCGTGCCTGTTTGCTCTGGGGCTTCCACTTCATGCTGCCAGCAGTCTAGCTGCCAGCCAGCTTGCTGCACCACCTCCTGCTGCAGACCCTCCTCCTCCGTGTCCCTCCTCTGCCGCCCCGCGTGCAGGCCTGCCTGCTGCGTGCCCGTCCCCTCCTGCTGTGCCCCCACCTCCTCCTGCCAGTCCAGCTGCTGCCGCCCGGCCTCCTGCGTGTCCCTCCTCTGCCGCCCTGTGTGCTCAGGTCAGAAGCCCAGCTGCTGATGGACACGCCCCCCAGTGCCAGCCAGGCTCAGCTCCCACCTGGAAGCTGATAGTCACATCCTGAATTGCTCCTGCACTTTGACCATTTCCCAGTGTCTGCTATTGAGCTGGACAATGGAAGAACTGAATGTCTATACTCAATGCTGCAGCCCTTTTGGGGGGGGGGTGCTTCTAGAAAGTTCCCAAGGCAGTGGCCTCCCCTCCATATCTCCCACTTCTCGTGAGGGTCAGCTCAGCCTTGACCCGTGAGGTCTCTGTCCTCCTGGCTCAGAGCCCCAGAGCCTTCCCTCAAACTGACCAATAAAGGCCCTGAGACTGCAATGGCGCTGGCATCCGGGTGTGTTGATCAATGTCTTGGCTGGAACTCACGGCCATGGTTTTCTCCTTTGTGCACAACCCTCTGCTGTCCTTCAGTCCCCTGAGTGTTCTTCTGTGCCCATGGGTGTGTGGCTTCCAGGGGTCCAGGCTAGACGGACATGGGCAGGGGGGAGCCTTGCAGCCCTTTGGCCATTTCAGGCCCTTGGGTTTGTCCCTAACCCTCCTGTGTTGTTTGTCATGTCATAGTTCTTTTTGCTGATTTGCTTTTTAAATTCTCCTTCTTCTGCACAATACCTGTCAAAATAAGAACGGTGTCTTCTAGCGCCATGCTTGCCTAGAGTGTATCCAAATGCCCCCCTTAGCTTCAAAATCAGTAGTCTTCATCCACATTGCCTAAAATCCTCTTGTGCCCTATGCAGACATCACTGGTGTGGTGGGAGGAACACAGGCTGGCGATTGGAATCAGGTCTCTGTCGCTTCCACCCTGTGTGAGCAGAATCATCTCCTCGACCCTCCAGCCTCTCTAAGATCAGAGAAGTAGGACTCCCTCTTTCAGGTTTCCAAATGGAGTGGCAAGAATGACAGACAGCATGTGTAACCACAGTGAGCCCAGGGCCAGCGGACTGGCCAGAGCAGGATGGGCTGAGGAGTTTTAGGCATTTTAAGAAGTCTTTAAAAATTATATTTGGAATAATGATGTGTTATAACCACTGGAAGAAGTGCCAACTATTCCCATGATTATAAAACATACTCATAAAGCAACAATGATAAGATCAGAAAGAATTTCCATGCACAGGTGTCAGAGAGTGGCCTGGGAACTCAGTTGCAGTGGAGGTGGAGTTGTGAGGACAGACCCAGAGCACCGGCCACATGGAGTCACAGTCCCGGGGTGGAAGGGAGTGCACAACTCACGGGTGAACAGACACACAGATGTGCCAGGGTGGGTGAGGGTGGGCACAACTCACAGGTGAACAGACACATGGATATCCCAGGGCAAGTGAGAGTGGGCATCTCACAGGTTAACAGACACACAGGTGTTCCAGGGTGGGTGAGGGTGCAAACCTCCTGGGTGAACAGACACAAGGATGTGCCAGGGTGGGTGAGAGTGGGCACCTCACGGGTGAACAAACACACGGATGTCCCAGGGTGGGTGAGGGTGCAAACCTCATGGGTGAACGTGCCCATGGTTTTCAGCAACACAACTCAATGTGTTGATTGCAACCCACGGAACCAGAGAGTTAAAAATAACTCCAGAGAAGGGGGATTCTGTGGAAGAGTCTTCATTAAACTACAGTGCTATCTCCCTTCCCGTGAGCTGAGAACACTGCTGGTCGAGGTCCTCTTTGTCTTTACCAAACCTCACTCTGTCTTCAGAATCTTCATTAAACTACAGTGCTATTTCCCTTCCCGTGAGCTGAGAACACTGCTGGTTGAGGTCCTTTGTGTCTTTACCAAACCTCACTCTGTCTTCAGAAAGTAGTTTTCTAGGAGGTGTATAGAAAAGTTGAGAAACCACTATAAAACAAGCTGACTTAGGGGATATTTATACAATATCCCATCCAACAACAGTGGGATGTGCATTGTTTAAAGTGCACATGGAACATCCACCAACGTAAACCACGGGAGAGACCTGAGTGCAAGTCTGAGTGTCCTCAGGAGGGATGAAATGACAGGAGGGCTGAGTGTGCCGCTTGACCACACAGAATTGGAAATCATTAACAGAAAGACATTTAGAAAACTGCCACATACTTGGAAATCAAATAACACACTTTAAGACCTATGAGTAAAAATATAAATCACGATGGAAATTATGAAATATCTGGAATAAAATCAAAATGAAATCACCACATATCAATACTTGTGGGATGCAGCTAACAAAGCATGTAGAGGAAAATGCATAGTAATTTGCTTTATCAGAAAAGAAGGCCTAAAATCAATTATCTGAGCTTCCAGCTTCAGAAGCTAAAGAAGCATATGTTGAAACCCAAAATAACTAAAAATAATAAAATAATCAAGAATTTTAAAACTCCACTGTGTTTGTCCATTTTACACTGCTTTAAAGGAATACCTGAGACTGGGCACTTTATAAGGAAAGGCCCATTGCTATCTGGCTCCTGGTTCTACAGGCTGTACAAGCATGGCACCTGCACAGCTTCTGCTGAGGTCTCAGGATGCTTTACTTATGGTGGAAGGTGGACGGGGAGCAGGCATCACATGGTGTGACAGGAGCAAGAGAGACAGAGAGGAGGAGTGCCAGGCTCTTGTGAACAACCAGCTCTCCATGAAGTAACAGAGCAAGACTTCACTCATTATTGTGGGGGTGATGCCAAGCCACTCATGAGGGAGCCATCCCCATGATCCAGTCACCTCCCACTAAGCCCTGCCTCCAACACGGGATCATGGTTCAACATGAGATTTGGAGGGGACACACATACACCGTATCACCTACCAAATAAGTGGACAAACAGGGAAATAAATAAAACCAAACCTAGTTTTTTTAATAGACCAATAAAATTGGCAAATTTCTAACTTTACTGATCATTATAAAACAAGAGAACAAATAAATTACCAATATTAGGTGTTATGGTTTGGCTGTGTCCTCACCCAAATCTCGTCTTGAATTCTCACATGTTGTGGGAGGGACCTGGTGAGAGGTAATTGAATCATGGGGGTGGGTCTTTCCTGTGCTGTTCTCATGATAGTGAATAAGTCTCACGAGAGCTGATGGTTTTATACACGGGAGTTTCCCTTAACAAGCTCTCTTCTCTTGTCTGCCACCATGTGAATTGTGCCTTTCGCCGTCCACCATGATTGTGAGGCCTCCCCAGCCATGTGGAACTGTGAGTCCATTAAACCTCCTTCTTTTGTAAATTGCCCAGTCTTGGGTATGTCTTTATTAGCAGCCTGAAAATGAACTCATACATGAGGAATGAATAAAAGATTGCCACTACAGAATCCGGAGATATTTAAAGGAAACCAAAGAAATAATGCAAACAACTCTGTCAATACATTCAACAGCATAGATGAAATAGGCAAATGACTGGAAATGTATAATTTATGAAAAGGGATACAAGAAGAAATAGAAAATCTGAATAGTCCTTTATCAATTGAAGAGATTGGATTCATAATTAAAACCCTTCCCAAAAAGAAAATGCCAATCCCAAATGGCTTTGCTATCGAATTCTACCAAGCATTTAGGGGAGAAATAAAACCAATCTAACCCAAACTCTTCCAGAAAACCGTGGGGTAGACGCAGTGTCGGCAAGGGTGCTAGGGATTAGGGACAGAGGCTGAGGCCTCACGGGTGGCAGGGGCTCCCTTTGTGGGCTCTGGCCAAGGACACAGGCCCCTGGGATGAGAGGGGGACTCACGGAGGAACAGCCATGCCTTGGCCCTGAGATGGCCTTGCAGGGAGGGGAACTGAAAATTTACCTGTTGGGGACAGTTGCCTACTTACTAAAACCGTTCCAGCTACCACCACAGCCCCTGGAAGGCCATCCCCCCAGAAAATCCCCAAGGTCTCAGCAGGGCCTTGTCCACCTGTGCCCTCCAGGGTCGCCCATGTCAACCTCACCTCAGAGGGGCCTGACGCACAGCCCTACAGGTGCGAACTCTGGGTCCTGAAAGCCCAAGTGGAACCTGGTGTCCCCAGAGGAGGACCTGGGGCAGTGCCGGTTTTGGGGAATCACGTGCATCCATCCACCCACTCCACGATGCTTTTGTCCCCATCGAGCCCCTTGTCTCCTATGCAGGTGCAGCAGCCCCTCACTCTCCCCTTGCATTGCTGCTAAACCAGCAGAACCCTGGGGCAGGTGGCACACAGAGAGAGTGACCAGGCCCAGAGGCCGCAGTGCCTGGACCCTAAACCAGCTTCCCGGCAGGTGACCCTGCAGGGTGAGCTCTCCCAGGTGGGACAGTGGGTGAGACGGTCCTGGGGTCTGGAGAGCCCCACAACCCAGGGCAGGGCAGCGAATGACCAGGCTCGGGAAAACCCAGGCATGGAGACTGAGCCGGGACTGAGCCTTCCTGGGAGTGACCGTGAGTCCCACCTGGTGGCCTCCCTGGAGGAGTTAGGCCACTGTCCCCTGTGACTTCTCGGTTAAGTCACTCACTCCTAGAAACAGTCATGGCTGGAGGAGACCAATGTCAGCTCAAAACCATGTGTCCCCAGGAGCACAACAGGAAAAGAGAGAATCAGGTGACCAAGGGGAGTTTATTTGGGAGCAGGAAGAGGTGCTGACAGGTTCAAGTCAAGGCCAAGTGACCCGAGGCAGAAAAGCTGGGAGGGAGGACAGGGGATCCAGCAGGCAGGTGAGCACCTGCTAGGAGGCAAGAGCTGGGAAGCTGCGTGGATGGGGGCTCCTGGGAGCAAAGAGGGGGAGGTCACCTCAGCACATAGGGGCCCCGTCCCAGGTGGGGGCAACCTCTAACCCAAGTCAGGACCAGTTGGTCCTGGGGATGTGCCCATCAGCAACAGGACTCCTGGCCTGAGCCAAGCCCTCAGCAGGCCGGGCGGGAGCACACGGGGCGGCAGAGGAGGGACACGCAGGAGGCCGGGCGACAGCAGCTGGCCTGGCAGGAGGAGGCAGGGGCACAGTAGGAGGAGATGGGCACGCAGCAGGTGGACCTGCACACGGGGTGGCAGAGGAGGGACACGGAGGAGGAGGGTCTGCAGCAGGAGGTGGTGCAGCAAGCCGGTTGGCAGCTAGACTGTTGGCAGCATGAAGTGGAAGCCCCAGAGCAGATGGGCAGACAGGAGACAGGTTTGCAGCAGACAGGCTTGCAACGGATGGGCACACAGCAGGACTGCTGGCACGGGGAAGAGGTGCAGCAAGCCGGCTGGCAGCTAGACTGCTGGCAGCATGAAATGGAACCCCCAGAGCAGACGGGCACACAGGAGATGGGTTTGCAGCAGACAGGCTTGCAGCAGACGGGCACACAACAGGACTGCTGGCACGGGGAGGAGGTGAAGCAAGCCGGCTGGCAGCTAGACTGCTGGCAGCATGAAGAGGAATCCCCAGAGCAGGTGGGCACACAGCAGACGGACTTGCAGCACACAGGCTTGCAGCAGATGGGCACACAGCAGGATTGCTGGCAGGGGGAGGAGGTGCAGCAAGCCGGCTGGCAGCTAGACTGCTGGCAGCACGAGGGTGTGCAGGAGCTGGTGCAGCCTGATTGGCAGGGGCTGGACTCACAGGCCACCTGGCAGCAGGGCCTGGACACACAGCTCACTGGGGTACAGACCAGGGTCAGGCAGGAGGCCGGGGTGCAGCAGCTGGGGGCGCAGCAGGGAGGCTCACAGCAGGTCTCTGGGCAGTCGTCCACCTGCCAGGAGTCGGAGTAAGCGCTGGAGCAGACGGACGTGGTGGACGCGGCCATGCTGGGGTGGGAGGAGGTGAGCTGGGGGAGGTGTGAGTGAGTGTGGGAGTGAGTGAGTGAGCTGCTCAGGGCTGTGGGGCTTTTAAATCCCTCCCTGGCGTGTGTTGTCCTGACAGGAGGCTCCAGAAGCTTCTCTTCCTTGTTGGTGTTTAGAGCTGGTGGCTGGAGATGTGTCATTCGTGCTGGTTTATCTCTTTGTTTTCCCCTCATTAAACTTGTGTGTATGTTGCAGGGCTCTGTTCCTTCATCAGTTTTTATTTTGGCCCCAGAAATGTGGTGGAAAATATTTCAAGAAAGCTTTTGTTGAGTTGAGGTTTTAGAGATGAAGACTTCTCTACAGGGAGGAATTCTAGTTTCACCTATCCTGTGTTTGGACTGATTGGATATATTTTATTACTTTTAGCCTATTAAAATATAAATATGTAGAAAAATATGCATTTCTTATAAAATACAACTGGCACAGAGGGTAAGACGAAGCTAAGTGGCCCTCCCTTCAACCCCTCGTGCCTCGTAAGGGGAAGAGAGTCGGTATCTGGTGGATCCACGCTTTACCTTTGTCTCTTCAGCTCTTCCATGCCACCCTCAGAGGCCTCTCTGTTTTATTTGAAGCTGCGCTCTGGGTTTTCTCCATGTTTATTTCATCATGGTGACAGATCTAGTGCTTTTTCACATATGGTGATTTTAAGACATGCATTTTAAAATTTCTGTCTTGCCTGGCTGGGCACGGTGGCTCACCCACCTGTAATTCCAACACTTTGAGAGGCCAAGGCGGGCAGATCACGAGGTCAGGAGATCGAGATCATCCTGGCTAACACGGTGAAAACCCATCTCTACTAAAAATACAAAAAAATTAGCTGGGTGTGGTGGTGGGTGCCTGTAGTCCCAGCTACTCAGGAGGCTGAGGCACGAGAATGGTGTGAATGCGGGAGGGAGAGCTTACAGTGAGCTGAGATCGTGCCACTGCACTCCAGCCTGGGTGACAGAGTGAGACTCCATCTCAAAAAAATAAAAAATAAAAAGATTTCTTTCTTGCCTAAAAATGTACTCAACTTTACTCTCACACTTATATGATAGTTTAGCTGGGTATATAATTCTAGTTTTAAATCAGAATTATTATTATAAATAATAATAAAAAAATCTGTTTTCTCAAAATGATGAACCCGTGTCACCATTTTTCTGTGGTGTCCAGTGTTGCTGATGGAAGACTGACGCTGGTCATTTGTCATTTTTTATAGTTTGCCTCTCTCTCTCCCCTTTTTTTTTTTTTTAAACTCTCTGGGAACATTTGGTTTTCTTTTTATTCTTGTTTTGTTTCTATGAGTATGCATTATTTTACTTTCTGTGGTTGGAATTCATTGAGCCTTTCAATGTGGAGACTCAGGAAGTGTCTTGCACTCTTAAAAATAACTCTTATCTCTTGAGATCTTTCCTTCTGTGACTTTGATTTTGTCTCATGATGAATGAAATACATCTGTGGCTCACTGTAATAATGTTATGTTGAGCATTTAAACGTTTTCCCCTCATTTCACTGGACATCAGTTAAGCTCTGCTCATTGGTGGCAGTTCATTTGATTTTCTGAGTAAAAGACTATTTTATTCTAGGGCACTGGGGTCCTGATCCAGTTTACATCCTCATTTGTTTCCATCTGTTTCTCTTTTCTACAAATATATAAAGGATTTTAAAGAGCCTCCCTTTCTCTTAGACAATTTCGATTTTATTTTTTTATAACTCTTTGAATATCCTTTCAGTGATTAGTAAAGGTTGTGGAAGAACTGTAGGCTTAACCCACTTTCCGGGACTGAAGGACTCGATGCTCCTTTCAGGAAATGACAGGAAAGCCAGGAAGGCTAGGATGACGTTGTATTAGCGGGTGTGCTACAGACACGCACAGTGCAGGTGCAGTCTCCACACCAGCCACAGTGTGAGGGGCGACGCTGCAACCCATTTTGACAGACGCAGAAATGCTGAGAAGATAAGTCACCTTGAAAGAGGATAGCTGGCCAGCAGTGAACCCAACAACCAGGAGCTCTCGCTCCTTTCCCTCGTGGCCATCAATGGCTCCGTTCCGTCACACAGCTCCCAGAAGAGTGTGTGCTTCCTGAGTAGCAGGCAGGGAGGGAGGTGGTCCGGAGCCAGCGGGATGCGGTAAGGCTGACATGGCTTCTGGGACAAGCCCTGGGGCCTGTATGATAATTTGCTTTACTTTCCCCACCGCTGTCTCTGGCAGCCTCCTTAATCGCATGGGCATGGTGATTCCTCATCTCTTTATTCCTATTTGTGATCCACGCCCTCTGTCGCTCCCTTCTCCTGGTGTCTGAACCACCCATCACTGTCCAAAGTGTCTTTCCACGGTCATTGCTGTGCCCACAACACCTCCAGGTTCTCAGTGTGGCCGATCTAAGTCCACACCCTGCGCTCGGTGGAGACGTGTCTTTTTGGATCATGGAACTTTTCATGGGGCCACCACAGTAGTTTCACAGACAATCGAATGATCACACCAACCTTTCTTTTCTTTTCTTCTCTTTTCTTCTCTTTTCTTTTCTTTTCTTTTCTTTTCTTTCTTCCTTCCTTCTTTCTCTTTCTTTCTCTTTCTCTTTCTTTCTTTCTCTCTCTCTCTCTTTCTCTCTTTCTCTCTTTCTTTTTTTTGGATACATAGTCTCACTCTGTCACCCAGGCTGGAGTGCTGTGGTGCTGCAGTCCCCGCCTCCCAAGTTCAAGCGATTATCCTGCCTTAGCCTACCGAGTAGCTGGGATTACAGGTGTGGGCCACCACATCCGGCTTCCCTCCTTCCCTCCTTCCCTCCTTCCTTCCTTCCTTCCTCCCTCCCTCCCTCCCTCCCTTCCTTTCTTCCTTTCTTCCTTCCTTTCTTTCCATCTCTCTCTCCTTTTCTCTTTCTTTCTTTCTCTCTCTTTCTTTCTTTTTTTGTATTTTTAGTAGAGATGGGGTTTGGCCATGTTGGCCAGGCTTGTCTCGAACTTGTGGCCTCCAGTGATCCATCCGCTTTGGTCTCCCAAAGTGCTGGGATTACAGGTGTGAGCCACTGCACCCGGCCAGATCACATCATTTCTTAACTCAAGCGGACACTCTGGGGATCTGAGTGAGCTGAGCTGCAGAGATTAAATGGCCCTGGCTGGGGGAGGGAGGTGATGGGAGGGAATGTGAGTCTGGAGGGCAGGGTGGCCCACGGCTGGGTCTTCTGCAAGTGACACACATTTGGATTCTTCTTTTCCGGAACATAGTCTTTTGTTTTATTTGACTCTCTTTCGCCATGGCTGGCTGCCCAGCACAACGCTGGAGACACGATGACAGCAGCCTCTGGTCTTGTTTCCAAAGTTAACAAGAGCACCTCCCGCAGCTCCACACTAAGCCAGCGTTTGACACAGCCTTGGTCTCAAGCATGCAGTGTTTTTTCACTCTAGGTTACCAGGAATTTTGCTTCAGGCTTTTAAGGAAAGAGTGAGTTTGTTCGTGTGTGTGTGTGTGTGTGTGTGTGTGTGTGTGAATGTGTGTGTATTAATCTACTGAGAGCTCCAGTGGCTTTTCTGCTTCTATTTTATGAGTATAGTTAATGATACCCTTTGTAACTTTTGATCTAAGATATACATTACTTGATAATGGCTCATTATCCCCTTTTTCCCAGCCTTATTGAGATATAACTGACAAATAAGAATTATATAAATTCAAGGTGTACAACATGACGTCTTGAGACATGCACACATTGTGTGATGATTACCACGGTCAAGCTAATTAATATGTCCATCACCCACGCAGTTACCTTTGTTTTGTGATGAGACATTTAAGGTGGACTCTTAGCAGATTTCAGTGTTACTGTGTTGCATTCTGTGTCACGGCCAACTGTCCCCGTGCTGCACACGAGGTTTCCAGAACTGACTCATCCTGCACAGCGGAACCTGCATCCTGTCATCAACACCAAAGTGGATGAAGCACACAGTTCTCGCACACCTGTATTAATAATCACTGAAAGGATATGTAAAGAGTTATGAAAAATGAAAACTCCCTGCACCCCCAGCCCCAGTGAACCTCCACTCTACTCTCTGCTTTGCTGAGCTTGGCTCTTAGATTCCACATATAAACGAGGTCTGCGGTATTTGTCTTTCTGTGGCCTGGGTCACTTCTCCTAGCATAGTGTCTGCAGGTTCATCCGTGTTGCCACAAAATGAGAGGATCTCCCTCCTTTTTTTTTTTTTTTTTTTTTTTTTTTTTTTTTTTTTTTTGAGACGGAGTCTCGCTCTGTCACCCAGGCTGGAGTGCAGTGGCGCAATCTTGGCTCAATGCAAGCTCTGCCTCCCGGGTTCACGCCATTCTCCTGCCTCAGCCTCCCGAGTAGCTGGGACTACAGGCGCCGCTACCATGCCCAGCTAATTTTTTGTATTTTTAGTAGAGATGGGGTTTCACCGTGTTAGCCAGGATGGTCTCGAGCTCCTGACCTCGTGATCTGCCCGTCTCATCCTCCCAAAGTGCTGGGATTACAGGCGTGAGCCACCGCGCCCGGCCTCTCCCTCCTTTCTATGGCTGAGTCATATTCCATCATGCCTATACACCACATTTTCTTTATCCACTCATCTGTTGATGGACACTTATGTTACTTCCGTATCTCGGTTGTTGTGAATAGTGCTGCAGTTAACATGGAAGGTCAGGTATCTCTCTGAGATCTGGCGTTAATTTGTCTTGTATATACAAGATTGCTCATCACATGGTAGTTCTATCTTTAATTTGCTGAGGAGCTTTGATACTGTCTTCCATAATAGCTGTATGTAACAGCTTAGTTTTCCTTTAACGTAGGCACATAGAATCTCTTACTTTATCTTTTTAAATGGGATTGATTTACAGTCTTCTCTCCCTCACACACACACACAATTGTTCCTGGTTTTGGCATCAGGATGTCACCAGTCTTACTAGAGGAATTCAGAAGCTCTCTGGCTTCTTCTGAGCTCTGGAATGTTTCATGTGTCACAGGAAGGTCTTATATTGAAGGCT